TTGTCATGAATCCATCTGTCCTTTGTTTAATATGCACATAGACCAAGGTGAGCGACACAGGCTCTTTAGAGCCTCTAGTTGTCTTATTTTATAATTTAAAATCAAGCCATTAGTTTTCTTGTTTGAATTTTCTTTCATTTTTGAATGTTGTGACCTTTGTAGCTGACTAGTACAATGTGATTTTTTCTTGACTGTATTTTATTTAATATTTTGACTTCTTTTTTATCTTTTGTAGAATCAATTAGAAAAGCCAAAATTTATAAGCTTAGATTCAAAACATTCTGGAGGAGCAGATTGTGTGAAGGTATTTATCCTTTTATAGCCTCAATCTATATCACAAAAATGTATTTGTGTTAAAATATACAATTACCATTAAGAGAGTTGATTTTTTGTAAGACCAAGTAAAGGTTACAGGTCCTAATCTCAGTTGGGAAAATGGTACTGTACAGTTTTATTTTAGTACTGGTGAACTCTACCGTTACAGACTCGTATGATAATAATACACCTGAAACTCCACAGATGTACGTGTATATCTAACAGCTATAAATATTCCTTCCGAATCCAGCCACACTGATTAGATGTCGCTTTTCAATATAAATTTTTATGAAACCAGACTGGATTAAAATAAAATTTTCTTGTGTAATTTGATGAAATTTAAATTATCTCCACTAGTTTACTCACTAAACAACAGGACTAATTTGTTAACATTTTCTTTACAGAAGCCAGCAGAAGTCAAGAGAAATAAAAAGAATGGAACAAAAGAAAAATAGAAAAAGAACAGTGAAATGACAAAATTAAATAAAATTTTTGCATTTCTTATTGTTGTTATCTTGTGTATTGTTGTTATCTTGTGTATTGTTGACCAAGACAGCAAAGGAAACCATCGAAAAGCTGTTCAGATAAAAAAATGACAGATGCTACACATGATCAAACAAAAGATAAAAAAAAAACACTTCTAAGAAAAAATTTGTTCAATGCTGGACCAAATGAAATGCATGAGGATATTTATAATCTGAAAAAATTATTACCTCTGTGTAAGTGAAACAAATTATGCGGTATGGGCTTTGCTCATTATTGAAGGCTGTACGGTGACCTGTAGTTGTAATTATTTCTGTGTCATTTGGTCTCTTGTGGAGAGTTGTCTCATTGGCAATCATACCACATCTTCTTTTTCATATGTGTTCAGTGCAAAATACCAAAAAATGGACTATTCAATAAAATTGATATCTAAGACAGGAAATATTGGGGTTTGTCAATGAGACATCAACCCGACAAAAATAGCCAAAATATATGTAGATTAAGCTGGTATCAACAGCATGCATACAAATGTAAAAGGAGATGTGGGGTAAAGATCAGTATGACGGCAGTTGTTTTCTCAAATGTGGATCCAGGATTTTGAATCTAGATAAAGTGATGCCCCCCACCCCCCACTCCACTCTGAAGTAACTGTATTAAAACAAAGTCAATGTAGGACTTTCTTTGAGATATTATTGTGTCTGGGAGACACAATTGATGCCCCCGTAGATGCACAGTGTTATTTTAGAATAACTATACCATTTAACCGCTTATACCCCAAAAATGACAAAGTTCAACTATCTCCCAAAAGAGCAAATATTAATAAAAATCAAAACCCTGAGCACATGCACATCTTCGATATATGTACAAACAGACACCAAAGTGAAAACTTCCTAGGATTCTAACTGTAGAAGGAGTTGTGCTGAATAACTATATACCCATAATGGGACGGACTGACAGAAGGACAGACAGGGGTAAAATAATATGCCCCCCAACTTTCAGTTGCGGGGGCATGAAAAGGGGTCATCAGGCCCCAAACTAGACAAAGTTTTGAGAGTAATAAAAAAATCTGGATTAACCATAAATGTAGCTTCATAAGGGCCATAAAGGGGGAACCCAAGCACCCCACTCCTAATTCAGTCTCTGATATTAATCATTGTTAATATGTTTCTGAATATTTTATAAAAAAACTTTTGAAAGATTATGTTAGAAAACATTTTTATAATGATATTTCGTATAACATTTAAATGATTTTTTTTAATGATTTTTTTGAGAATATGAAGATTATTAAAACATTTTGTTAAAAAATATTTTTTGAACTTTTTCAAAACATTTTATCCTGCAGAAATGAATTTTTATATGTTTTTAAAATGTTTCAGGGATATTTGATTAACAAACACATGCAAATCATTTATAAGACATTTTACAAACATTGTCATCAAAATTCAGTAACATTTTAATGATGTTTTAAAAGTATCATGAAAATGTTTTGAAAATATTTTTAACGCCATACATTTTTGCATGATTTTGATATTTTTCTACAATATTTTTTCAACATTTTTCTATTTTTTTTGGTGCTAACTGGGAAAGCAGTGGCGAAACAGCACCACATTAGAACAAATAATAAAATCAATTGCATGTAAATCCATTTCATCTTTTATGCATATTTATTTACAATGTATTTTTATGAAATTAGAAAGAACACAGCAAACATAGATAATTCTGGAACCAAGTCGAATTTGAAGTTTCCACGTGGAATTACATGTTTCAGATTTTTTATGCCCCTGCCACAGCGGAGGAGGGGCATTAAGTTTTACCCTTGTGTAACTTTTAGACAATACAAGGACTCTTTTAATGTGAATTCGGTTGGACGACATTTTTCTATCACAAACTACTTTCTTCTGATCTAGTTGGAATTTCCCTTTCAGAAAAGTTTGTGTGTTAATATAAGGAACTGTCTTGGCTAGTAAATAAATCCTGTTCCATAATTCCACTATTTGCCATTTGTTGTCACCTTTGTCAAATTTTTTTTTTTACCTCTGGTTCTGACAGAAGTATTGGTCCTCGCACTTGCAGCCATTTGGATTTTAACCATGAATTCATTTCAAACATAAAGATGTATCCAATCCATCACTTCTTGGTTGGGTTAACAGTCTGTTATCCATGATGGCTTCTGAAATATTAAAACAGGAAACCACAAAGCATCATGTTATTTAATAAACTGCAGGTTCGGAAATTTTTCTTATCATTTATAAAGGACAAGCGTTTAATGCGGGGATGTGTGTGATGTTTTTTTCTCACAAAAATACTCTAGATCTCCAACTTTGAAGAATAAAAAAAAATTGTTCTGACAGCTTTTGCCATAAGTTTAATGTAAAGTCCTTAGAAAATTCAGACTTTATTGCGACAAACAAATAAAAAAATTATGCTCATGTGTACCATGGTTTTTTTAGAATGCAATATAGGGATTGTCATATTTCCCAATACATGCAGTTCTCTTCCTTTCATGCATTGTTTTGTCAGGGAAATATATTTCACTTGCTATAATTAAGTGCACAACATAATTATTATTTCTTTTTTACAATCGGGTCAATGCAAACAAAGGTAAAAGGGTGAAAAAATGTGAAGACTAGGAAAAAACTTACAAAGTGTGAGGGTATATTTGAAGAATAAAATACATCCCTGTGTCATCCCCCTATTTTAATAAATAATAACCTGTCAAATTATTGGGCTGTTTAATCGAGAAAAAATAAAACAAAGAGGTTTAATAATGTACTAAATATAGGAAAAATATAAATACATAATAACCTAATCCTGTTGTTATATAATCTCCTGGCATGACATGGTTATCAGCTGGTTATGGCAAACTTGGTCGAATTTTCCGCCGGGTTTCCCTAGATATTTTTGATGGGTGGATCAACTCTCTTGATGCCTTCTCTCCATTTCAAAAGAATTTCATGGTCTTTTGGGAATCTGTGGTCCCCCTTCAGAATAATTGCAGCCGGGGACACAACAATTTTGAAGCTTAGTTTGGTGAAATTAGCGAATGTCGATTGTGGTTACTTATGTAAACATGTGCAACGTAATGCGATTCAAGCGTCCAAGTGATTAAAACGTTTCCGACAACCACTTATGGAACACCAGCGACGTCTACAGGAAGAAATATTACGAATGATCCCTATTATGTCAAAGCATTTACACATAATACCCGAGATGTCAAAATAAACAGAGTGGTCGAAATACAACAGTCCCAATTATATCAAAGCATTTACACATAATACCCGAGATGTCAAAATAAACAGAGTGGTCGAAATACAACAGTCCCAATTATGTCAAAGCATTTACACATAATACCCGACATGTCAAAATAAACAGAGTGGTCGAAATACAACAGTCCCAATTATATCAAAGCATTTACACATAATACCCGAGATGTCAAAATAAACAGAGTGGTCGAAATACAAAAATCCCAATTATGTCAAAGCATTTACACATAATACCCGAGATGTCAAAATAAACAGAGTGGTCGAAATACAACAGTCCCAATTATGTCAAAGCATTTACACATAATACCCGAGATGTCAAAATAAACAGAGTGGTCGAAATACAACATTCTCAATTATGTCAAAGCATTTACACATAATACCCGAGATGTCAAAATACATAAAGTGGTCGAAATACAACAGTCCCAATTATGTCAAAGCATTTACACATAATACCCGAGATGTCAAAATAAACAACTATCCCAATTTCATTCAACTATATATTGTATAAAACAAGATAAGAGTAATAAATCGTTGATCGAAACACTCAACATGCACACAAAATACGTTTTTTATATGATTTCGTCAATTTTTCAATGTTTTTATTATGTTAATTGTTTCAGGAAACACATGATATTAATGGCGAAGATGTCTCGTACAAGCCTCTGAACTCGTACAATTTATAATAGCTATAAAATTACCTACCTCGGATATAACATATATGTCTCTGGTAAAGTGACCGATAATGCTTTCAACTTTCAACTTCATAAATTATTTGGTCTTCCAACAGTTATGATAAGAGTGTAACTGACGAGTCTTGTTCAGACGAAACGCACGTCTGACTAGTCCTGTTCAGACGAAACGCACGTCTGACATATCTAATTTCAACTCTGGTATTCTTGAAAAGGTTTTACCGATTACTGATTTAACTTATACCTGTAGGTAGAAACGATTGGTGATGCTTATATGGTAGTATCTGGCCTACCTGCAAGGAATGGGAATGACCATGCCAAACAAATTGCTCAAATGTCACTAGCTATTCTTAGAGAAATCGGTAACTTCAAGATTCGTCACTTACCCACCATTACTTTGGAAGCTCGTATTGGACTGCATTCAGGTATTTAAAAAACAAATTTCCATGTAAAGTTTACCAGGATCAATAAATGGCCATAAATATTTGAAAATTATATAATAGATAATTGAATAATTCAAATACAGAAAAATATTCAACGAGTGATCGAACAACACATTTATTCACGAATGCGCGTAGCGCATGAGTTAATTATCAGTGTTGTTCGGTTACGAGTTGAATATTTTTCGATATTTGAATTCTTTCATTAGTTATTCTTTTTATTTCATCGGCAATGGGGTTTTAAATGGAATAAAAGTAGAAAATACAAGGAACTATATCTTTTTCTACGCATTCACAATTTGCTTAGATGCGACGTCATCGAGAACGTCTTGAAAACACCCATTGTTGTATGACGTCAGACGAGTGAAATAACCGAGTTTGGAGTTTGTGTCAATTTAAATTTAAGTGCTTTCAAGGCCATTTTTTGGTCAAAGAAAGTTAAGATTTTGGGCACTATTGAAACTTTAAATGAAATGCATAGAAGTAAGAAATGTAAATGAGTTAGATATTTTCAATGTTATAACGTCAGAGTTGTGTCATATAATTCGTCTTTCAAACCCAAATGTAGAAAATACACATTAAAATGTATTTTCCATCCATATTTACAGACAGTCACGAAACTATAAAAGAATTTAAAAGAAACTTCGTGATAGCTATTTACGTAATCTCACCAAATAAAGGTTGCTGTTTCTTGGGTGTTCCAAACTTCTCCAACTTTAAATAAACTGGAATTCTGATGCAAATAAAACATGGGAAGTCAAACCATTTTATTGCTCAGTAGTACGGTTGTTTTGTTCTGTGTTGTTTGTCTTGGTTCCAGTGCTTGGTTCATTTCTCAGTTGGCCTTGGTTGATGGGACCTGAACTGTCCAAATTTTTGAAAATTCCTGTTATCTTTTGTATGTATTATTCAGAATGGCATGCAAATGCGGATTTTTTTTTACAAAATTTGCAGTGAAACATATCAGGAAACCATTGGCAATTAGAATTTATCTCTTTCGTGTATAGCTCTGATTTCTTTATCGGGTTTTGCTATACTTTTTGCCATTTTCGATTATATCATCTATTCAACGTTTGGTAATGTGATTTATATCGAGCATTACTGAACTGCGAATAGGGGGGAAATGCATTGTTACCGTTAAATATTGTTATCAAGAAAACTGTACAAAGTAAATGCATATACAAGAGAATGAAACTGGGTTTCCATCTCTTCATATTCTCGTTTCAGGGCCAGTCTGTGCAGGTGTTGTTGGGAAGAAGATGCCACGTTATTGTCTGTTCGGTGATACTGTAAACACAGCATCCCGAATGGAGTCACATGGACAAGGTAAGATCCCGAATGGAGTCACATAGACAAAGTAAGAATCCAAATGAAGTCATGTGGACAAGGTAAGAATAGGAATGGAATAACATGGACAAAGTAAGATCCCGAATGGAGTCATATGTACAAGGTAAGAATCCGAATAGAGTCACATGGACAAGGTAAGAATCCGAATGAAGTCGCATGGACAAAGTGAATTCAAATGGAGTCACATGGACAAGGTAAGAACCCGAATGGATTCACATGGACAAGGTAAGAATCCGAATGGAGTCACATGGACAAATTAAATCTAAATGAATTCACATGGACAAGGTAAGAACCCGAATGGAGTCAAATGGACAAGGTAGGAATCCGAAAAGAGTCACATGGACAAGGTAAGAATCAGAATGGAATCACATGGATAAGGAAAGATCCCGAATGGAGTCTCATGGACAAGGTATGATACGAAAGCAGTCAAATGGACAAGGTAAGAATCTGAATGGAGTCACTTGGAAAAGGTAAGAATCCAAATGGAGTCACAAGGACAAGGTAAGAATCCAAATGGAGTCACATGGACAAGGTAAGAATCCGAATTGAATCACATGGATAAGGAAAGATCCCGAATGGAGTCACATGGACAAGGTATGATACGAAAGTAGTCACATGGACAAGGTAAGAATGTGAATGGAGTCACCCGGAAAAGGTATGAATCTAAATGGAGTCACATGGACATTGGAAGAAAGCGAATGGATTCACATGGACAATAAAATACAATCTCTTTACTTGTATGTATGTATCGAACATTTGTTTGGTTTTTTTCCAATCGATTTTCCTTCGGCACCAATATAGACTTTGAACATGTGTAGCAGCTGAATCGTGTAAACCAAATGATAAACTGGAAGGCATCAAATCAAAATTATGTAGTTGTCTTGGTATACGATTCGAGTCTTTGAAATAATCTTATTTTTAAAGAACTATATACTGTGTCTACTGAAACATGTATGTGTACAATCTTAAACCGTTGGTAGCTATGTAAGACCCAAATGAGATAACTTTTATTAGTGAGAGCGATAACTTCATGGTCAATAAACTCATAATTGATACCAGGCTGATAATTTTGTACGCCAGAAGCGCTATTCGTCTACAAGTGACGCTCAAATAAAAATAATAAAAGGCCAGATAAAGTACGAAGTTGAAGGGCAATGAGGACCCACAATTCCGAAAGGCTTTGCCAAATACACCTAAGGTAAGATATTCAAGGGGTAAAAGATCCTTAGTATTTTAAACAATTCAAAGTGTTGTAAACAGTTAAATTATAATGAGACAATATGAATGATTATCATGTCAACACAGAAGTGCTGACTACTTGGCTGTTGGCCTCCAGCTGCAGTGGAGTGTTATAAACACGGAATTCCACTTGTTTGTTTTTGGTATTTTGTATGGCTGATGGAATCTACATTGTAGTGGTAAGATTTGTTTCAGGTTTGAAAATTGGTTGCTTGAAAGTTTGTTTGGATGGAAATCAGCAAAAATAAATACTAGTAATAGGAATAACATTCCCCCTTTGCTAGAGTGTTTGAAAGTATATAATGGTATAGAACGAAAGTATAATTCTTAAATGTCTGCATATATCAAAAATATATAATAAAAGAGGTTGTATTAAATTAGATCCAATTTTATTTATGTTTTTTTATATTGCAGCAATGAAGATTCATGTTAGTCCGCAGTCAAAGTTGCTCTTAGATGGCTTTGGATTATTCAGTCTGTCATCAAGGGGCATTGTTCAAATAAAGGTAATCGAAAAACTCAAGACATATAACAATCATAGCCTAACTAGTGTTAATTCTTTGAATTAAAGTCCTGGCAACATATCAACAAGGAACTGTTATTCAGAATTAAAACAAATAGTACAACAAAGTTCTACTCATTATATTTGAGGTTCGTGGCAAGTTCTGTGATATTTACTACACTATCATGACGCACAGTAAATGAAACATGCCTATAAAATGCATATAAATGTCTGGCTAAGTATACAAAAAATATAATGCAGTAAACAGTTATCCCCCCGAAAAATAAAAAGTGACAGGTCCTGGAATAATAATCACTAGTATTAATTTTGAACGGACCTGTCCACTTAAACAGATTTGTTTTTGGATTCATTTCTTAGAACGGATTTTCTTAAAATTCGGTAAAAAAGGGAACATTCGATCGATTGTTCGACTGCTCGATGACTGTTTGACGTCGCCTAAGAGCAAAACAGTGCTATATCGACACGTATTTTTGAAACATTCGAAGCCAGGTAATAGAACAATACAATATAATATAATACAACAATGCAGTACAATACAATACAACAATACAATACAATACAATACAATACAATACAATTACAATACAATATGCTTTATTTAAAAACACTCTGTCACTTTCACATGTGAACAAGAGGTAAACATATACAAAATACAATCACATACAATCATAGAAAGAAATAAAACAACTATAGAATGGAATATATTAATAATTACTATACTTTATAATATTTTAATTAACTTTGAAACGAATAGAGATACATGTTTTAGTACCTTTATATTACCCAGTGATAGTAATCCTTTCATTTTTGCTGCGCTGGGATATTTTATATAATACTCTGGAATGTGTTGATTTCTGATATTTTTTACTAAGATGGAATTGCATTCAAATAAGTATGGTAATGGAACAATACATGGAACAAAGTTATTGTCTTTTTGAAGTTTATAATAACAATGATGATAATAATTCTAGTATTAATGATAATTTTGAAGGGCAAAGGAGAAATGACAACGTATTGGCTGTTGGGGGAATCCCCTTCTGTGGGTTGCTCATTACCAGAGAATGGAGTCATGTCTACTGAAAATGATTTAATCTCACTACGAAATGGTGCTTTTCCATCCACAAGTATGATCTCGCTTAAAAACACTGGTTCTTCGATCAAATATGAAGATATTTCAAACAGGAGTTGTGGTATATCAGCCAGAAATGGGACTGGTTCAGCTAGAAGTAATATTTTTTTAACCGACATTGAAAACATTTCGACTAGAAGTTCTGATAATTCAACCTATTTTGAAAACATTTGAAGCAGAAGCGGTGCTATTCAAAATTCAATGATCACATTTCAATTTGAAGTAGAAGTGAAACTTTACAACGACGAATTTGGATATTTCTGAAGAATATGTTAAAAATATTAGACAAAATAAAAAATGATATATCATACGACATAAAATCTAAGAACTCATACAAAACTTTGACCTTATATAGTTATGTGATATAAAAGTATTCATATCCCTTATTTTGGATAGTTCCTTTGTAAAACTGTTACATCTAATTGCAATTTGTTGTGTAAGTAAACCTAGAATCGCTGAAAGTGTAGCTGATGGTAGACTTTCTAAAGATAACACTACCTCGATATAGTTATAGGCAGATGTGCCTTTGGTCCATTGAAAGAATATGTTAGGGACAACGATTTCAGATCGAATCGTTTTCTATAGGGCGGACTTTCAAATTCAAGTGAATTATCATTTGTTAACTTCTATGTCATTTGGTCTCTGGTGGAGAGTTGTCTCATCGGCAATCATACCACATCTTTTTATTTTCATATCAAGTTTGAACCGTACGGTTCATCAATGTATACTATACAAAACGCATATACGCATGCCATATTACAAATAATATCCATAATATATATATATATATATACATAATTGGTGATGTCAGAATTTTTATGTTGTGTACAATGCAAATGAAGTGTTTCTTATTCTGAATGTGAAATGTATATATTTTCATATGCATGTTGCCCAATTCAATCATTTTTTCACAATTTAATAAGAGCTCTTTATAACAAAACCTTCAATACAATTATTACTATGTAAAGTTTTGAACCACAATTTACGAATTCCAATATATTGAAATGGAAATCAACCCAATTCGAAATAGACCATCACATTTGATGTCGTTCTTTTGACAATTAGTATTTTAAAGAAGTCCAGATGAAATTTATCTATCACAGGAGTTTTGTGGACTGCATATCTCACAACCGTGCATTAATATTCTACTGATATACGCAATAACCAGACTAGGTTTAAAACAAACTTCAAGTATTCAAAACGGGTGTTGTGTTCGTACGGGCCGACAAAGCAGCCAACAATTTTGTAGTGGTGTGACGTAAATACTACACGCAAGTTGTTGAGAATGAAATTATCACTTTTACATTGAAGACCGTGCGCTCTACATATAGTCAAATAGTAAATAATCATATCATTACCACGTTGTATCTTAAATCCTCCTCTTAACATATATAGGTCAATATTGTGTATTGGCAACCTTAACACCAAAACCCGTCCAATAACGTTTCATCTTGGTTTCAATTAAGTGTTCTATAACTTCCCTTTCTGTCCTTTTGCTGGTTTCTTTTCTTAAATTAAAGATTTTGTTATTAACTTTTAAGGTATCAAAGGTGGTGATAATAAGGGCCAAATAAATTAAGGACAAACTTAAAAGTTACCATACATGATATTTAATTTGCCATATGGTCAAATAAGTAAAAAAAAATGTATTCTACATTTGACGAGTTACCATGACGGCAACAAGCAATACATGTTGCAACGTTAGTATATTTTGAACATATTATGTTTTTCCTATTGTGTATAATTTTGGAGTATATTTTAATTTGGAAAAGTATGGGCATCCAAAGTAACAATTTGATATTTGGTGGAAATCTGTAATTAGCTGTAATAAAGCTTTTTTTAATAATGTTGTTGTTATTTTGCTGAGAAAGAACTCTGAACAACTACATGTAGAATCTAATATATTTTTCAAGACATTTGATTTATGGTATTTTTGAAGGCATTAAATCAACTATTAAAATATTCATTTACGACTAGATTACCTATATCGTTATATGTGGCCAAAATTTCCACATTAGAAAAGGATTGGATAACTGCATGAAATCAGCATTTTACTTCGTTTAATTCTTGGTTAAATGCATTTCACTATTTAGTATTTTGTGAGGACTACATTTATAGGGTTATAATTGCATTTGTTTGCACCTGTCCTAAGTCAGGAATCTGATGTTCAGTAGTTGTCGTTTGTTGATATGGTTCATAAGTGTTTCTCGTTTCTCGTTTTTTATATAGATTAGACCGTTGGTTTTCCCGTTTGAATGGTTTTACACTAGTAATTTTGGGGGCCCTTTATAGCTTGCTGTTCGGTGTGAGCCAAGGGTCCGTGTTGAAGACCGTACTTTGACCTATAATGGTTTACTTTTATAAATTTTGACTTGGATGGAGACTTGTCTCATTGGCACTCATACCACATCTTCTTATATCTATTTATAACAAACTAATGTTAAGGTAAGTGTTTAGAGGAGTTTAGAGTGGCGTCCATTTCATTAAACTAGCAAACATTATTGTTTAGGGACAGACTGGAGCTCGCCTCCGGATGCGGGATTTTCTCGATGCGTTGAAGACCCATTGGTGGCCTTTGGCTTTTTTATGCTCTTTGGTCGGGTTGTTGTCTTTTTGACACATTCCCATTCTCTATCCAATGTCACAGCAAAGAGAACTTTTTGATAGATCCTGTATGGAACTCTTAAATCTTTTTTAAATATCAATAATATTTCAAAGAAAAGTATACTCTTTTACTACAGATAACTGGTGATGTTTATAGAGGAACAAATGATTGTGATTAACTGTTTCCATGAAAACCGTTACTTTTGTTTTATTAGTATTGACAGTTAACTGACCTTTGATTAGATAGTCGCTAAGATAAATTTGGTACACAGTGTGCTAATAGCCTAATACGATATATACAGGGTCAGTAAATTCAATATGGCTCGAGCGCACCATATGGAATTTAGTGACCCTGTATATATCATATTATGTCACTAGCACACTGTTGGGGAATTTACTGACCCCATATATATCGTATTAGGTCACTAGCAAACTGTGTTACTAATAACATGTAGTACTTCAAAAGGCAATGCTCACCCCACAACCGGCAACCAGGTTGTCAAAGCCAGTAAAGCTTTATGTTCGGAATGTTAACAGAGTATCCTTAGGAGCTAGGACAATATGCAAGGCCAGCAGTTAAAGTGGTTACATTAGATCATGGACTCAGATGCAAAAGTTTTCTTGAATTTCACCTGTCTTTTTAACTGTTCTTAAATTTGGGTCGTGAATTTAGGCCGTATGCATATATCATGCTTGTAATTTGTTTATTTATAATTCATAACAACGTTAATAGGAACCAGAAACATTGCTGGGAAGTAAAACAGACTACGTCAACACCGGACTCCTAAAAATAGAGACAAACAAAGACAACCAACAACGAACAACACATGGTTCAGATCGAACTCAGAAACCGTGGTAAAGTCGTCTTTTGTACGTTGAAAGTTAAGCAAAGCAACGTCACCGCTGTTTCGGAGACTGGGTTCAGATAGCCTGATTTGATAAATTCAGGTATAAAATGTAGTGGGGTTAAATCAGTTTTACATGTGCACACTCCTCCCTTCTTGCCTATCTAGACACTATAACGTTAAACTAAAACACACAATAAAAAACTTTGCACGGTGCAGCTACGAGCTGGATGACCATTATAAAAAACCTGTTTGGAATAAAATATCTGAAGTTTTTTTTCACAATACCTGTCTTGAAAAAATGAAATCTATATCCATAGTAGATGTAACAAACACAAGTGTTGGTTGCTTAATGTTCAGTAGCAGATAGTTCCTGCATGTTCAGGACGAGAACAAATTCACAATAAATACATTATGTAGGTCCTGTAATAGAGAATATAGGCCCTCCGGTATGAAGGTTGGAGAATTTGTACTGCCAATGGAAAATGAGCGTATATTGGATAGGGACCGGAATCTTGCCTTGCAACAAGCCACCTATACGGATCCTTCAAAGATTTGTTGAAAGGGTTCTTAACGTTCAGAGAGCGTGACATTTAACGTGCCCATTATGACCGGACGTGGCTGCGTATTTGTAATAACCGCACAGCCAAACGGACGCCCCACTTTGGCATGGGTTTTACTGGCAGTCGGAAGAAGACCTATGTGACCAGTCATCCAAACACAAGGATGGAAGGTGAAACTATTTGCTATGTTTCAGGTTATTCTATATGCAGCTTGGATCTTAAAAAAAAACTTTGATCCGTTTCCGGTCTTCCAAATCTATTCCATTGTATTACAACAGTATATCGCCAATTACCGATTTGATTCTGTTTTACACACTTTAATACAAGATGTTTCCCTTTTCAATTACAGAATAGCAAACTGAGATTAAAAGTCAAACTTTCCAGATGAAAATTCAATATTTTTTTAATTCCTGTGTTATTTGTTGGGTTTGTGTTGCTTAATCTCTATTCAGTGTAGTGTTTAGGTTAATGTTGTTTGTCCATCTTTTGTTGTTTTTTGGGGGGAAGGGGGTCATTGTGTTGTCCGTAATTCATGAGTAATGTGCAGTTTTTTTCTATGCATCATAATTGACTTTTAAGATAGTTACAAACAATATGAATACCTTCGCCAGGACAATCTTTACTAATATTTCAAGTTATCTGTCATGTCGATATGGATTTGACGTGGTCACATATTTGATAGACATCAATTATTATGCAAACTGGGTCAAATATCTTTTAGTAAATTACATAATATTAAAACGAGTGTTATACAATATCGTTATTCAGTCCAAAATATGAGTGTACACGTATTATTACCGCTTTTTGTCAATTTTCCTTTTTTAGACGGTGATGGTCCTTTCGAAGTCAGGGATTTCGTTACCACAAAATACTTGAAACCTTTACTAAATTCTTCCAAAGATAGAAAGATTTGGTTTGGAAGTTTGGTTCAAGTAGACTAAACATGAAAATAAGTGAAATATAGCGATGTGTGTTGAATTTTCTAATGAGTCCTTGACATTTTCACGCAAAATAGTGCAAAAGTATAGATTTTGGTGAAATTTAACAAAGCCTATAGATTGTAAACAACCTTAGGCCTAGGAAAC